ACACCTGAACATCAGCAGGAGAGGACTCTTTAAAGTAGAGACACTACATACTGATATACACCTGAACATCAGCAGGAGAGGACTCTTTAAAGTAGAGACAACTACATACTGATATACACCTGAACATCAGCGGCAGAGGACTCTTTAAAGTAGAGACACTACATACTGATATACACCTGAAACATCAGCAGGAGAGGACTCTTTAAAGTAGAAACACTACATACTGATATACACCTGAACATCAGCAGCAGAGGACTCTTTAAAGTAGAGACACTACATACTGATACACACCTGAACATCAGCAGGAGAGGACTCTTTAAAGTAGAGACACTACATACTTATACACACCTGAACATCAGCAGGAGAGGACTCTTTAAAGTAGAGACACTACATACTGATATACACCTGAACATCAGCAGGAGAGGACTCTTTAAAGTAGAGACACTACATACTGATATACACCTGAACATCAGCAGGAGAGGACTCTTTAAAGTAGAGACACTACATACTGATATACACCTGAACATCAGCAGGAGAGGACTCTTTAAAGTAGAGACACTACATACTGATATACACCTGAACATCAGCAGGAGAGGACTCTTTAAAGTAGAGGACACTACATACTGATATACACCTGAACATCAGCAGGAGAGGACTCTTTAAAGTAGAGACACTACATACTGATATACACCTGAACATCAGCAGGAGAGGACTCTTTAAAGTAGAGACACTACATACTGATATACACCTGAACATCAGCAGGAGAGGACTCTTTAAAGTAGAGACACTACATACTGATACACACCTGAACATCAGCAGGAGAGGACTCTTTAAAGTAGAGACACTACATACTGATATACACCTGGACATCAGCAGGAGAGGACTCTTTAGAGTAGAGACACTACATACTGATATACACCTGAACATCAGCAGGAGAGGACTCTTTAAAGTAGAGACACTACATACTGATATACACCTGAACATCAGCAGGAGAGGACTCTTTAAAGTAGAGACACTACATACTGATATACACCTGAACATCAGCAGGAGAGGACTCTTTAAAGTAGAGACACTACATACTGATACACACCTGAACATCAGCAGGAGAGGACTCTTTAAAGTAGAGACACTACATACATACATACATGTGCTTTAAATCTCTAATATTAGGTAAAGGTTGAATCCTTGCTCTTCTTCTTCCGTTTCTCTTCGTCTCTTTGCCTTGTTGACCCTCAAATGGAGTGAACTGGTTGACTGTTTAGGCCTCAGTGACTCTCCGTTACTCTGGTGGAGGGGAGTCAGCCGGGCATCGGCAGATAAACGCACATCAGACTCAGTGAAAGTGAGCATGAATCACAACAAGGCAGAGATAGGCGCTGTGTGTTTGTGAAAATGATCTAAAGTCATAGTTTAATTGGATTTTAAACGGCTGATTGTGGGTTTTCTGTCTCAAACAGGGATCTCCCTCTCAGGCTGCGCCGTGTAATCGAGTGTGGAGATGAGGGAGAGTTGTTATGACAGAAGGGGGGGGACACACTCTTGAATAATGGCACTTGGCGGGCAGATAGCAATCAGACGACGACCCCACCAGACTTCATTTAGCCCTTATTATCCGGACAGTCCTCAGCCTGTCCATCATCCACCTTCCTCTCTTTGCATGTCGAATCTGCTCCAGTCAATCCTAAAGTTTAATCCCAGATCAAATGTAGAGTTGCGGCATTTCGTTTTGTTCCTTTGACGTTATTTCACATATTTAAAATGGCTTCATGGAAATGCAGTGCTTGACTTTTGCTGGTTTTCCAAATCTGCCTTTGACCCTAATACATTGACACCCTCAAGGTTCAAGGTTCAAGGTTCTTTATTGTCAACCTAACCTAACCTAACCCTAACCTTAACTGACTGGTTAAGCCAAAACTGAATTACATCCAGAAATCAAACAATTATTAGTTTTAAGGGACACAAAGTATTGGCATCACAAACAGGTTTTAAGGGACAACAATTCCTGCTCTCAAACTGTAGTTTTTTAACAAATAATGTTTTGTTTTTGCTTAACCAGTGACTCCTTCAGTATTTTATTTTGGAGATTTGTGGATAGTGGGTTAAGGTTGGGGTTAGGGTGTCAATATATTGGGATCAAAGGCAGATTTGGAAAACCAGCAAAAGTCAAGCACTGCATTTCCATGAAGCCATTTTAAATATGTCAAATAACATCAAAGGAACTAAACTAAATATGAATTGGTTAAAAACCACAGTCTGAGAGCGGGAATTGTTGTCCCCTAAAACCTGTTTGTGACGGCCATACTTTGTGTCCCTTAAAACTAATCATTTTATGATTTATGGATGTAATTGAGTGTGGAGATGGAGACAATCCTCAGCCTGTCCATCTTCCTTCACCGCGCACTCTTTGCATGTCGAATCGGTTGCAATAGAGCACTCTTTTCTGCTCCAGTCAATCCTAAAAAAGTTCATCCCAGATCAAATGTAGAGAAGGCGGTATTTCGTTTTGTTCCTTGCCAAAACATTGAGGCTATTTCACAGATTTAAAATGGCTTCAAATGCAGTGCTTGACCAAATCTGCCTTTGATCCTAATACATTTACACCGTAACCCTAACCCTAACCTTAACCCAATATCCAAAAAGATCCAAAATGAAATACTGAAGCAGTAACTGGTTAAGCCAAATCTAAATATGAATTGGTATTTGGAATTGTTGTCCCCTAAAACATGAATACCCTGTGTCCCTTAAAACTAAGAATTGTATGATTTCTGGATGTAATTGAGTGTGCATTGGACTGGTTTTATGTGTTCATTGTATTGTTGTCTGGTAAGACTTAAGAACTATTTTCTGCTCCAGTCAATCCTAAAGTTTAATCCCAGATCAAATGTAGAGAAGGAGGCATTTCCTTTTGTTCCTTTGACGTTATTTCACACATTTAAAATGGCTTCATGGAAATGCAGTGCTTGAATTTTGCTGGTTTTCCAAATCTCCCTTTGTTCCCAATACATTGACACCCTAACCCTAACCTTTACCGAGACCCACTATCCAAAAAGCTCCACTGTAAAATACTGAAGCAGTCACTGGTTAAGCCAAAACGAAACATTAATTGATAAAAAACTGTAGTTTGAGAGCGGGAATTGTTGTCCCTTAAAACCTCTTTGTGATGCCAATACTTTGTGTCCCTTAAAACTAATAATTGTATGATTTCTGGGTGTAATTCAGTCCTCTCCCTGTCCATCTTCCTGCAGTTAGAATCTGTTGCATTCGACTGGTTTTGTGTGACATATTATTGTTGTCTTGTAGTCCACACATTGGGACTAAAGCACTCTTTTTCAAGTTAACTTTAAATCCAGACGAGATGTATGTTAAAGGGCCATGAAAACAAAGTCCTCAGTGACGTGTTAAATGTCTGTTTCCTTGTCTCTTGCCGTACATGTGTCCGTGTTGGCGTTGCACATGGAGCTGCTGTGATGCTAGAAGATTCTCAGACTTGATCTGACAATCATCGTATCGTAAAAACATAAAAAGTACCTCACAATTTTGATCTAAACTTTATGCAGTTACCTCTATATGTCCATGAAGCAAGTCATTAAAAAGCAGGAGGTTGCCCACTCTAACAGAGGTTTAATGTCTGACCCCTGAGTGCTGCGTTCAGGAACACTTCAGCAGAAGAGTTTCAATTACCTGAGAGTGTTTTCATTTATTCTTCCTCTCAGTGTCTCACTTCAGACGTGGATTAACCCCAAGTCACTAGCAATGCAGGATGTAATCGCATTTGAGACGATCAATTATCAAATCATAATTAAAAGCCAAATTGCTTTCATTTTCAAATGCCAATAACATCTAACATTATTCATCTGCAAGTTGTATACTACATGGAATCATATGTTGATTTTAACACACTTCAGTGGGTGTCTTTCTATCGTGCTACGTATTTTGCACAAAGTTAATTCTCCATTAAACATACCATACTATGCTTTACTAACTTGTCCTTAAAGAGCAATAAGATGTGAATTAGGAAACTAAAACTCAAATGCAAAATATTTGTTTGATTCTCAATCAAATGTTAATACTTGGATATGTGTTTTTCTGTTGGTAGTTAATTGTAGTTTAGCGTGATATAACTAATAACAATGTGGAGTTATTTATTAGAGATTAAGGTCCCCTGAAGGTGGTTAAAAAAAGACAGCAAATCTTCATGCTGGCCATTAGATTGTGGAGCACTGCAAAGGTTACATATCATGCATTCATGTCATAATGCATCGCAAAGACTAATGTGCACACTCACAATATACAGTTAATGTTTCCATCTTTAACGGCCCGTCCACACAGCGGCGTTGGAAGAAGCTTCCAGCCGAACTGCATTGTGGGAAGCAGAGCGGAGCTTTCCCGGCGTTTCAGGCTGCAAAAGTTGAGCAATGTTCAACTTTTGAAGCTTCTGAAGCTTTCGGTGGAAGCGTCAGCCAATCAAATCATATGCCAGTACAAGCTCTAGCCAATCAAACCGCTGCTTGTGTGTCAGGGGCGGGAGATTCATGTGATTGGTTGTTGGTCGAGCTTCAGACACGCCGAGCTCCAAGCTTTTTTTGAAGCTGTAGTGTGGACGGGCCGTTAGTCATTTAAAGACTCAAATATCTATTTTTTAGCATTGTCACTGTGGCCCATGATTGTGAAAAGAAAAATTCAAACTATTTTGATTATCGATAGAGAAAGTTGTTTCTTGCTTAGATTAATTGATACAATTGTGTTATCTTTATGAATTGTTTTAAACACAATCAATTGACTTTCCTTAATACAGCGAATAGATATTATAGGCAGTAAGAAAGAAATAGAGGACATGATTCTAACTACGTGAAGAACTAACCCTAACCCTTCTGAGTCCACACAAAGCATCCCTCTCCCTAAATGATTGTTCACGCTGGTTTGTTCAACAGCAAATCCAATGGAATAACTTATATCTAATTGAACGTAGACGCCTCTAACCCTTCCTCCCCTCCCTTCAG